GGCCCCGCCCCCGCCGCCCAGGCGGCACGGGGGTCCGTCTCGCAGGGGCTGGAGCGCCCAGCAGCGTCGCCTGTGGGTGAGCAGCAGGCCTGGGTGGCACGAGGAGCCTGCCAGTGCTTCGTGGCGGCGCCGTGCAGCCCCAGCCGCCCTCCGGGAGCCCCTGGGCACTGTTCAGCGCTGGCCCGCAAGCAAAACAAGCTCGTTACCCCAGGGGTTGTCCTCTGGCTGGAGCCATCGGGGCAGACAGGGCTTGGGTGCCTCAAGTTGCTTCTCCACCTTGTGCGACACCGGCGATTCTCAGCTGGGTACTGCGGAATTCAGAGATTTCGAGGGTGGGAAGGGATAATCGCCGATATGACGCCGTCTGCCAGCAAACAAGGGTTTTTCGTTTCGAGGTTTTTAAACGGTCGCTAGCAACGCAGCCTGCCTGGAAAGAGTGTACCCAAAGAACTGAGACTTTAAGACCATCCTTGGAAAGTGAAAATACGAAGCCAAATCGCTGACCATTTCTAATTTTTAGTGTTCCTGGAGGAAAAGTTCATGGGCCGGGCCGGTTTTGCAAGGCCAGGGTTTACAGTACAAACCTATGAGGTCATCGAGTCCAGCTCCTTGCTCTGGGCAGGAAAGAGCGCTGGGGTTAAGTGACTGCTGGGCACATCAGGGCCAGGACATTTTTAACAGCTTGTGGAGACAGGAGGTTTTTCATGCTGTAGATACCTTTTGAAATCTTGGGGCTTGTCTCGCGAATCTAGAGAAGTTAAGTAACCCCAGCCAGGTGCTTCTCTAGATTCATGAGACAAGCGCCAAAATTTCAAAAGGTATCCACAGCGTGAAAAATCCTGACCCATCTTTACAATAGCAGATTTGCTCTGTTATTTTTCCATAGTCCAAACACGAGTGAGGAAGGAGAGCTGGCATTTTCCAACGGGTGCCTCGAGTCTCACAAGGCTGAGAACCACTCAGCAACACTGTTCAACATAGGTTCTTATGTTTCCCTCCCGTCCGACCTGACCACCTGCTCAAAGTGCATTGACACCACTAATATTTAGTAGGGTTGCCATGTTAGTCATGAGGAATGAGGGAATATTTGAAAATTTGGTGTAACATCTTTTATTGCATGAATTACATATTGGGAGAGGTGTTAAATCAGCTTTTCTGGCGCAAAATACCATTCCTCGGGTCAGACTGCACAAATCCTGCTTCTCCCATGGCTAATATCAATGATATGGTACCATATTAATTTAAATATTAGATTCATACGCATTAGGGCTGGAAGGGACCTCACAAGATCATTGGTTCCAGCCCCTTGCCCAAAGGGCAGGAAGTCAGCAGGGGTCAGAAGATGACCCTGACTATAAGGTGAGCCCCAAATAATTAGATTCTATATACGGAAAACTTATAAATTTTATATAAATTTCCAGATATTAAATCTAATTATTGGAGTTTTGCCTTGAATGTGTCCTTCTTTCACTTCTTTAACAGGCAAAATAAAGCTGGGGGGGTCAAGTAGCCCTTTGCCATCTGTCCCCACAATGTTGTCCCACTGCAGCCCCTTCTCCTTTCTATCAGACCCTGCTCCCCTGAGCACATGGAAGTGAGGAACAAAACTGAGTTTGAAATAAATGCAGCTGTGGTTATTTCCATATAGTGTACAGTCTTAGGTCATCCAGAATTGATGCATTTTTAACTTTTTTTTAAACTGCTGCAAGTGCCATCACAGGTACTCCATAAACACATGTGTAAGTAATGCCATGCCACCTACTTATATACAACACAATTGGAGGGGACTGTAAATATAAATATAAATATATAGATATATAGTTAGATATATATAGTTATATTGTTATATATAGTATCCCACATAAACATTTCTACACACACCTTAAAACACATTTAAAACCCATGCACCTATTACAATGGCTGCACCTGCAACCCTCTGCTCCTGCATACCTGTCTGCAGTCTTTTCTGTAACACAGTCTCTTAGTTCTCACACCACCGTTGGGATTTGCTATAAACCCAAAGCCCAAAAACTCGTGATTTACAATACAGTTCCTTGGGCTGGACCCCAGAAGAGTCAACAGCATTTCAAGCTATGGTGACCCCACAGCTCAGCACTGTTCAGTATGTTTGCACTCCAGAGACGCCCATGTGCTAATTAGCCCCCACTCATAACTTCAACAGGGTTTTCTTGCCATGAACCCTGGGATCCTCCAAGAATTTCTGTGCAGATGAAGCACAGAGCAAACTGGTCTGGCTCCACCTCATAGGAGGCCAGGCCACACTAATCATATGTGACAGGCTGAGAGTGGGGGTGACAGAGGGATTTTGGGTGAACTGTTTGGGACCCATTTTGGTGATGTTTGCCAGACATTTAAGGCTGGTGAAGGAATCACTGGAAATGGGAAAGAAAGGTGTAGTTAAGTTCAGCTGTGGGAGCATAGAGGAAGTCAAAATTTATACAATGCAGGGGCTCACTATGACCAGGAAAAAAGTTGCTAGTGAGGAGATCTGCGCTCAGTGATACTACTATATCACTGGCAAGACAGAAACCACCATGAAGTGGTTTATTTTTGCTTAAAGTATCTGGGTCCAAGAAGGCAGTTTTACTTAAGCCCTCTCAGGCATAATTATTCTTCTGGCATGGTTTAGTACCCACTGACGTGCTGGGGCTTAAAGCCCACTTTATGGAAATGGGAGGCTCCTTCCTAGCTTGCTCCTGCAGCCATATGGCTGAGGGCAGGCAAAACTTAGGGGCATCTGAACCCCAAGCCTCCAGGCTTGGGCCTGCACATAGGATATCTGCCAAAAGACATTGGAAATATCTAAAGCCCCTGGTGGGGATGGAGGATGTTTGCCCTATTGTAGGGCCACTTATGGTACTGAACTGACTCATGGATTTGGACTGGATTTGGCTGATTCGGCTTGGAACATAACAAATTTCTTTAAAATAATAATTTTAAAAAAAGTTTCATTTTTGCTTAGGTGGTTTTTCTTACCTGAAAGAGAAGATCCCCTTCTTCTTAACCTTGAATGACTTGGAAAAGATAGACGGTGAAGACCTGTCCTTTACAGGCACCCCTGCAAGAGTCTACAGATACCTCCAAATTCAGAGCATCTGAAGCCCCAGAATGAAGAGTCTGGGAGACATAGCCCTTGCCAGTGCTAAAAAAAAAAAGGTGGTAGGTTCCCATCAGCACCTTGGTCTTTATGCTAAGATCTAGCATTACTGGCACCACAGGGTTGGTGTCAGGGCTGGGTCTGGCCTTCCTGGTGCCGGCCCAGTATTGCAGTACCTCTAGGCCCAGTGCTAGTTCCCTGCCTGTTTTTTTTTTAGGGACAAAAAAGGGTTCCCATCAGTATGTTTGCCCTGTATGGGCCATGTGTTTTATAGTCATGCTCAATGTTGGCTGCATGCAAGCAACTTCAGGGTTACTTTCCATGACTGAGTACATGCTGCTTTCAACTGCAGTTCAAAGATAGAAGATGCATAATGCAGTTTTCAGGGCTTTTTCCTCCCCATGCCGATTGGTGCTGGCGGGGAGGACACCTGGTAGTCCTTCACTTGCTTCCCAGGAGGAGAATTGTATATTCAGCATTTTGGTAGGGCTTGGGTTTTTAGAATGCACATGCTGCTTTGTGGTTGTTACAGAAGGCAGATCCAGAAAGTGTGCTAACACATAGCAGCATGCCAGTGCAAGGGGTAAAGGGATTCTAGTTTCCACAGGAGTGTGTTCCACAGTCTCAGGCCAGCCCCTGGGAAACCTCTGTCTTCTTCCTCTAAGATTCCCCATAGCACAGATCTGGTGAACTTCGGGGCATATAACCTGTTCTCTCCAGTTCTTATGGGAGTGTAGGGAGAAATGCAATTAATTAGGGATTAAAAAAAGGGTGGGGGG